CCTTTAGTAGAGGGCAGTCAGACTGATAGCCCAAGCCTTCTGAAGAATCGAAGCCTATTGCCGCAGAAAACATTTTTGCTGTGTTCAACAGGACTTCCACTCAAAGCTTTTAGTAGAGGGCAGTCAGACTGATAGCCTAATCCTCGAAAGGAGTTCATGGATGCCAGATATGACTGTTTTTGCTTGTTCAACGGATTTCACATCAAGCCTTTAGTAGAGGGCAGTCAGACTGATAGCCCAAGCCTTCTGAAGAATCGAAGCCTATTGCCGCAGAAAACATTTTTGCTGTGTTCAACAGGACTTCCACTCAAAGCTTTTCAGTAGAGGGCAGTCAACTGATAGCCTAATCCTCAAAGGAGTTCATTGGATTGCCAGAATGAACTTTTTTGCCTTGTTCAACAGGATTTCCACATCAAGCCTTTAGTAGAGGGCAGTCAAACTGATAAACGCCTAATCCTCAAAGGAGTTCATTGGATTGCCAGAATGAACTTTTTTGCCTTGTTCAACAGGATTTCCACATCAAGCCTTTAGTAGAGGGCAGTCAGACTGATAGTCCAAGCCTTCTGAAGAATCGAAGCCTATTGCCGCAGAAAACATTTTTGCTGTGTTCAACAAGACTGTCACCCCCAGCCTTTAGTAGAGGGCAGTCAAACTGATAGCCTATCCTCAAAGGAAGAGTTCATTGGATTGCAAAAAAATAACACTTTTTTCCTTGTTCAACAGGAATTTCGCACATCGAAGCTATTAGTAGAGGGCAGTCAGACTGCATAAGTCCACAGCCTTCTGAAGATGAGCGCTTATTGCCCGCAGAAACATTTTTGCTGTGTTCAACAAGACTGTCACCCCCCAGCCTTTAGTAGAGGGCAGTCAAACTGATAGCCTAATCCTCAAAAGAGTTCATTGGATTGCCAGAATGAACTTTTTTGCCTTGTTCAACAGGATTTCCACATCAAGCCTTTAGTAGAGGGCAGTCAGACTGATAGTCCAAGCCTTCTGAAGAATCGAAGCCTATTGCCGCAGAAAACATTTTTGCTGTGTTCAACAAGACTGTCACCCCCCAGCCTTTAGTAGAGGGCAGTCAAACTGATAGCCTAATCCTCAAAGGAGTTCATTGGATTGCCAGAATGAAACTTTTTTTGGCGCTGTTCCAGCAGGATTTCACATCAGCCTTTAGTACAGGGCAGTCAAACTGATGGCCTAATCCTCAAAGGAGTTTATTGGATTGCCAGAATGAACTTTTTTGCCTTGTTCAACAGGATTTCCACATCAAGCTTTATAGAGGGCAGTCAGACCTGATAGTCCAAGCCTTCTGAAGAATCGAAGCCTATTGCCGCAGAAAACATTTTTGCTGTGTTCAACAAGACTGTCACCCCCCAGCCTTTAGTACAGGGCAGTCAAACTGATGGCCTAATCCTCAAAGGAGTTCATTGGATTGCCCCCGAATGACTTTTTTGCCTTGTTCAACAGGATTTCCACATCAAGCCTTTAGTAGAGGGCAGTCAGACTGATAGTCCAAGCCTTCTGAAGAATCGAAGCCTATTGCCGCAGAAAACATTTTTGCTGTGTTCAACAAGACTGTCACCCCCCAGCCTTTAGTAGAGGGCAGTCAAACTGATTGGCCTAATCCTCAAAAAGAGTTCTTGGATTTTGCCAGAATGAATTTTTCGCCCTGCTCAACAGGATTTCGCACATCAAGCTTTAGTAAGACGGGAGTCAAAACAGATAGCAATCCTCTGAAGAATTCCATGGACTGCCAAAAATACACTTTTTTGCCTTTCAGCGCAGCGACCCCAGCCCGCGGCCTTCTAGTAGAGCGGCAGTCAAACAGCATAGCCCAATCCTTGCTGAAGAAATCGAAGCCTCTTGCGAGAAAACATTCTCTTGCTGTGTTCAACGTTAGGGACTTCCACTCCAAGCTTTCCACGTAGACGGGCGTCAAACTGATTAGCCTAATCCTCGAAAGAGTTCATTGGATTGCCAGAATGAACTTTTTTGCCTTGTTCAACAGGATTTCCACATCAAGCCTTTAGTAGAGGGCAGTCAGACTGATAGTCCAAGCCTTCTGAAGAATCGAAGCCTATTGCCGCAGAAAACATTTTTGCTGTGTTCAACAGGACTTCCACTCAAAGCTTTTAGTAGAGGGCAGTCAGACTGATAGCCCAAGCCTTCTGAAGGTTTGAAGCCTATTGCCGCAGAAAACCTTTTTGCTGTGTTCAACAGGACTTCCACCCAAATCTTTTAGCAGAGGGCAGTCAGACTGATAGCCCAAGACTTCTGAAGAATTGAAGCCTATCGCCGCAGAAAACCTTTTTGCTGTGTTCAACAGGACTTCCACCCAAATCTTTTAGCAGAGGGCAGTCAGACTGATAGCCCAAGACTTCTGAAGAATTGAAGCC